TCGTGAGATTAGATGTTTCAGATCCCAATCGGGTTCCAGCTTGTGTGGTTTCTCGGTCTTCCTTATATGATCACATTAGAGAGCGCCAGTATGATGATCCTCATTTGCTTGTCCTTAAGGACACAGTTCAGCACGGTGATACCAAAGATGTTACTATTAGGGATGATGGGGTATTGAGGATGCATGGCTGGATTTGTGTGCCCAATGTAGATGGCTACGTGAGTTGATTCTTGAGTAGGCCCATAGTTCGCGGTATTCTATTCATCCGGGTGCCGCGAAGATGTACCAGGACTTGAGGCAACACTATTGGTGGAGGAGGATGAAGAAGGATATAGTGGGGTTTGTAGCTCGGTGCCTTAACTATCGGCAGGTGAAGTATGAGCATCAGAGACCGGGTGGATTGCTTCAGAGGCTAGAGATTCCAGAGTGGAAATGGGAACGTAAAACCATGAATTTTATAGTTGGGCTCCCACGGACTTCGAGGATGTTTGATACTATTTGGGTGATTGTGGATCGGCTGACCAAGTCTGTGCACTTCATTCCAGTTGGGACTACTTAATCATCAGAGCGGTTGGCTGAGATTTACATTCGCGAGATTGTTCGCCTTCACGGCATGCCAGTGTCCATCATTTCAGATCGGGGCACGCAGTTTTGGAGAGTCGCGCAGTGAGATTTGGGTACCCAGGTTGAGTGGAGTACAACATTTCACCCTCAAACGGACGGACAGTCCGAGCACACTATTCAGATATTGGAGGATATGCTACACGCTTGTGTCATAAATTTCGGGGGTTCTTGGGATCAGTTTCTGCTGCTCGCAGAATTTGCCTATATCAACAACTACCAGTCGAGCATTCAGATGGCTCCATATGAGGATTTGTATGGGAGACGGTGTCGATCTCTGGTGGGTTTGTTTGAGCCAGCTGAGTCTAGGCTATTGGGTACTGACTTGGTTCAGGATGCTCTGGACAAGGTTAAATTGATTCAAGATCGGCTTCGCATGGCGCAGTCCAGATAGAAGAGTTACGCTGATAGGAAGGTTCAGGATGTTGCTTTCATGGTTAGGGAGAAGGTACTGCTCAAGGTTTAACCCATGAAGGGTGTTATTAGATTCGGTAGGAAGGGAAAGTTGAGCCATCAGTATATTGGACCTTTTGAGGTACTTCACAGGATTGGAGAGGTGGCTTACAAGGTTGCCTTGCCACTTAGTATGTCGAGTGTGCATCCAGTGTTTCATGTTTCTATGCTCTAGAAGTATGTCGGCGTTTCGTCTCATGTTTTGAATTTCAGTACAGTTTAGTTAGATGGGGATTTGACTTATGATCTGGAGCCGGAGACCATTTTGGACCGGCAGGTTCGAAAGTTGAGGTCAAAAGACATAGATTTAGTGAAGGTGTAGTGGAGAGGTCAGCCAGTTGAGGAGGCTACTTGGGAGACCGAGCGGGAGATGCGGAGCAGATACCCACACCTATTTGAGACTCCAGATACGTTTCTAGACCCGTTCGAGGACAAATATTTGTTTAAAAGGGGCGAATTTAACGACCCGACCGGTCGTTTTGAGAGTCGTAGCCCCTTTCCCCCATTTACTGCTCATTTTGTGCTTTACAGTTGTTATATGACTTGCCGGGGTAGTTAGTTCAGGTCCGGAGAGGTTTCGGAATAAATTGAGACACTTAGTCTCAAGGTTGAAAGGTTAAGTTCAAAATGTTGACCAGATGTTTACTTATGTGTAGATGACTCTGGGATGGAATTTTGATGGTTCCGTTAGCTCCGTGGGTGATTTTTGACTTAGGAGCGTGTCCAGATAGTGATTTGGAGGTCCGTGGTTGATTTAGGCTTGAAATAGAGAAAGTTAGACATTAAAATTTGACCGAGAGTGGACTTTGTGGTTACCGGGCTCGGATTGGGGTTCCGGGAGTTGGAGTAGGTCCGTGGTGTCATTTGTGACTTGTGTGCAAAATCTGAGGTCAATCGGACGTGATTTCATAGGTTTTGGCGTCATTTGTAGAAGTTGGACTTGTTGGTATAATTGGTTGAGGTCCCGGGGACCTCCGGTGGAGTTCGGATGGTTAACGGATTGAATTTGGAGTTTGAAAGATTGATGAAGCTGGGGGTCTTCTGGTGCAATCGCACCTGCGGAGCTTGGGTCGTAGGTGCAAGCAAAGGAGCACAGGTGTGTCCATGGGAGGAATGTGCAGCAGTCACAAGTGCGTAAGAAGTACCGCAGATGCGGATGCGCATCTGCACGAGGTTGACCGCAGAAGCGGATTTAGATAGGCAGCAGGGGCATCGTAGATGCAGAGAAGGCTTGCAGATGCGGTCTCGCAGGTGTGAGGCTGGGACTGCAGGTGCGATGGGTCGCCCGTTAAGTGAGTTCCGCAGGAGCGTGATTTTTTCCGCAAAAGCAGATGTGTGGATGCAAGCCCAGGCTCCGCAGGTGCGGAAATGCCTGGGCAGTGTTTAAATTCGAGGGTTTCCGATATTTTCTTCATTTTACAAATTTCAACCTCGGGATTTTGTATTTTTTAGTGGATGTTTGAAGGGTTTCTTGGGGTAAGTCGCTTGTGGTTAAATTTATTCAATAATTAGGTTTCCCCATTGAATTTGCCACCTAGATTGTGTGGTTTTGAGGTGTAATTTGGGGGTTTGAGGCTAGGGATTTGGAGAGTTTAAATTGGGGATTTGGGTGTCGATTTGATGTTGAATTTTGGTAAATTTAGTATGGTTGGACTCGTGGCAGAATGGGTTTTCAGATTTTGTGACTTTTATTGGATTCCGAGACGTGGGTCCGGGGGCCGGCTTTTGAGTGGACTTTTTGACTTTTAATTAAAAGCTTAGTAATTTCATATGGAAATGATTCCTTTAGCTCGTGTTGATTGTATCAGACTATTTGTGGCTAGATTCGAGGTATTTGGAGGCCGTTTCGCGAGGCAAGGGCTTGTTGGAGTAGAGTTTCGTACAGTTTGAGGTAAGTAACACTTCTAAGCTTGGTTCTGAGGGTGTGAAACCCTGAATTTCGTGTTATATGATTGGTGTTGAGGTGACGCATGTGCTAAGTGACGGGCATGTAAGTGTTCACCATAAGAAATGTAACTTGATCGATTCCATGGAATTGAATAGTTGTTAAATCTTGTTATTGCCCATATTCTTACCATATGTTAGATCTATTGAATTGTCAGTCATGTTAGAAACCCTGTTTGGCTATATGATGGTACTATACCCACAGTGGCCGTTCTTTACTGTAGAACTAATTGCTTAATTTGTCAATTTGTACTCAGTCACAGTTATTACTTGCATATTATATCTTAGTCTCTTATGTCTTTACATGTTATATCATATCATTATTTGTGGGCTGATTATCATGATTCCGGTGAGCCCGAGAGACTGAAGAGGTTATTGACTGAGTGGGGCTGAGGGAATATTATGAGTGATATTTATGGAATCAGGATGCACGCTGCATCAGGCTTTAATGATTGATGCCAGAATTTGGCTTATTATAGCGCTTGGGCTGGATCGTCCCCGCCAGAGTCTGCACGCCCACAGTGGGCGCAATGCTAGCAGTTATGACATTTGGGCTGGATCTGCCCTATTTACTTGCATTTATGCTAGATCTACCCTATTTTATTTGCATGTGGGCTGGATCTGCCCTGTTATGTGTTAAGTTTTGTTGTGAAATCTAAAAGCATGTCTAAGTTCTTGTTGAAACCATGTCTAAATTCATGTACCTTCACTTGTAGAATATAAATATCCGAGATATCATTGTCATAATTTTTGTAACTTTCTGTACTGTTAAATGTTGAAAGTGGACCGTAATAATTGGACTTGTCACTGTTTTCAGTCTAAAGGTTACTTATTGAGTTGGTTGTACTCACGCTACACCCTGCACCTCGTGTGCAGCTCCAGGTGCTTCCGGATTCGGCAGTTGTTGATTTGCAGAGGCCAGACCTTTGGAGATCATCGAGGTAGTTTCTTGGCGTTCACAGACCTTGACCCTCCTCTCTTATCTTTCTATTTATTTATTGAGTTTTACTTCTAGACAATGTACTAGACTTTGTCATTTCGTAGATGCTCATGTACTCGGTGACACCCCGGTTTTGAAAGAATTTATGTATTGAGTTATGATTTTCTATCCTGTTTTAAGAGATTTTCCTTTATTTAAACTGTTTTAGTATCTTTCAAAGATTTAAAATGTTGAAAATGTCTGAATAGTCAGCTTGCCTAGTACCATGATAGGCGTCATCACAACGAGTTAGTTTGGGGTCGTGATAGAGATAGGGTTGTGATGAAAATTTACTTTGTTATCAGGCGTTATGTAAGTCAAATTTTGATTAGATAATTTGTTATAGAAAGAAAAAGAAACTTCACTGAGACGGGACATGTTGAAAATTGATAAAATAACTATGTTAAGCGGGTGAGGTAAGTTGAGTTTTTCGCGGGTTAAAGCTCATCCCGCATCGACCCCCTCTATTTTCCATCCCTAGCCAATACGATGCTGGAGATAAATTGGACCAAGAATTCAATTTTTCTACGCAATCGAGGGATATTTTATATTTTGTAAGTTAAGATGACATGTAACGTATTAAAATATATTGATAAAATAAATACACTTTTCTTGGTATATAATTAAAACCTTAGACGAATATACCGAAACTTTCCATAACCTTACTTGATGCATGCATCTTTCGTTTTCACATTTTTTCTTTTAAGGTGGGGAAAAGGGTTGAAGAAGGAGAATTACGAAGAAAGGAAAATGGTGAGATTAGATTAAAATATGATTTATTCATTTGAAGTGATCATAACTTACTGGGAAATGCATGTAACTATTCTTGCTAATATATTAGTTTTTAAGTGGTGTTTTCTTCTACAATTATTAATCATTATTGTTAGAGATAAAGTTCAATCTCTATAAGTTAGGATATCAATCTCTATAGTTAGGATAGCTATATTATGTTAGCTATATTTTAGGATATATGATTGTTCTATTAGTTTCCTTATCTCCCTAGACTTCTATAGTGTGTTTTAGACTGTTGTGTATATATTCAACAATGTACTCAATAGAAAACTATCGAATTCTCTCAACATCATATCTTATAACATGGTACCAGAGCCTACCATGGCATCAATTTCTCAACTTTCATATTCTACCTCTATTGCAGTAACCTTGACCACTCCAAGTCTTTTTGCTCCGTTATCTCATGCTCAACTCTCTTTTTCAATAAAACTCAAAGCAACAAACTACCTGATTTGGAAAACTCAGTTTGTTCCTATCATCAAATGCTATAATCTTTTCAATTATATCAATGGTACACCAACACCTCTCTCTACCATCATAAATGCCACAACAAATCAATTAGAACCAAATTCTAATGATCTAAAGTGGTTACAAGAAGACCAACTCTTACCGTGTTGGATCTTATCATCTTTAACCGAGGAAATATTTCCTTATGTGACTAGTTTAGATACTGCCTTTGAAGCATGAGAAGCTCTCTCAAATGCATTTGGTATAAGCAACAACGCTAGAAGAGTCCAATTGCACATCACCTTGCAAAACATGACTCTTGGTGACAAACCAATGGCTCAATTTCTACGCGAAGCTAAAGCTATTGCTGATGAGCTTACTGCTGCTGGAACACCAGTATCTCTTGATGAATTCAATGCCACCATCTTCCGGTTACTTCCTTCTTATTATCATCCTGTCATTGCAATGCTATTTGAAGAAAAATCACAGGTATCATTTTCTGATCTTTCTGGTAGACTTATGGATCATGAAATCCTATTGCAGAACTCTCGCATACTGATCTCTGTTGTTGCCAATATTTCTCGACAACACACTTCATCTGCTCGCCAATTCCACCAGAGCTCCCAGGAAAATAATGGTTACAGAAACAATGGTGCTTCCTCCAAAGGAAATATGAAGTGGTTTCCTAATCCTTGTCAGATATGTGGACTCAACAATCATCAAGCGAAGTAGTGTCACAAACGTTATGATACTAATAAAGATAAAATCACTGCCAATTCTGCCAATGTTAATGCTTCTTCCAATGATTGGTTTCCTAATACTGCAACTTCTCATCATATGACACCTGATTTGTCTGCACTTGAAATCTCTGAGGAGTACAAAGGGCTGACAAAGTTACTATAGGCAATGGGCATGGATTGCACATTAAAAACATTGGTCACACTACACAATCTTCTGGTAATAATTGATTACATTTGAAAAAACATTTACATGTGCCTGTCGTACAACAACAATTGTTGTCTATTAATAAATTTGCTAAAGATAATCAATGATCCTTTAAATTTGACTATGTTGGGTTTACTGTGAAGCATCAGACAAATAAAAAGGCCTTGTTGAAGTGACCAGCTAACGACGCATTTACAGGCTTCCTATTGATGTATTAGAAAACATTGCAAGAAATAGCAAGGCTTTCAAATCAGTTCAGATTACTGCACCAGATTGGCATGCTCGGCTCGGTCATCCTCAACAATCAACAGTCTCTTTTATTGTTAATAAAATCTGTTTGCCTAGTCATTCAATAAAATTATCTGATCTTTGTGAAGCTTGTTGTTTAGGCAAACATAGTCAGATTTCTTTACCGGTTACTGGTTCTATTGCTAGTAAGCCATTAGAATTTGTTACACCCCATATTTTCGTACGTGAGAGTACATCGTAAGTCAATTATGTAAGCTCAGAAATGAGATCTTCTTTGAAAGTACATAAAGTAAGTTAATCATATTATTTTGGGAGTTACAAATCTATAAGATCATGGATAACAAGTACCAAGAGGGTTGAAAGGCTTAGAAGCTAAACAAATTAAAGAAAATAAGTTTCGTCGAATGTCGACAAGTTGGAAATGCTATTACATGTACTTTTGAGGTTGATACTAGGTGCTTAATATGATAAGGAGGTTATGTAATGAGTTATTTTAGTTGTATGATATTCGTGTATTACGTTTTGAAGTCAAGTGAGTTGTGGAATAAAAGTTGGCAAAGGTCATCACAAGTTACATCTACAAATGTGCTAAATCTTAGGTCAAATGTAGCTGATGTTTTCTCCCAATATACTTGGAATTACGGGATGATCCATCTACCAAATTGAAGATGTATGAGTCTAGTTTCTAACTCATTAATTCTTTTGTCGATACGATATCCGAGTAAAGAGATATTCATATTTTTGTAAGACCGTGCAAGCAGCTCCCAATGGGATCCACTTAGGCGGTGGACGACCCTTGAGCATTTTAACGGGGTTGGACGGCTCATTTTTGGTCATTTTCGACCAAGGACAGTTCCTAAACTCTCTCAACACTTTGCTAACAGTTCTCCAAGGTTCCAAGTCGTCCAAGGTGGTTTTACCTAAACCTATCCTCAAAAGTTAGCCTAAGTGAAGAAGAGAGTCTTTATGGTGTTGTGATGTATTTAAGGGTGCTTGTAAGCTAAGGGAAACTTTGGTTCGAGTTTGTTCTGATTATTTAAGGTATATATAATACCCTATTTCTTTCACTTAAGCTTATCTATGTGTTGGTTACATTATTTGGATGAAGAATTACAAGATAGAACTTGAAGTTGTATAAGAAGTTGTTATCTCTTATTGGACTATTTTGGAGTTGTGTATATGACTTCATATAGCGAGAAATTATGGGGAATATCTTGGTTATAATATTATTATTGTTTTTATGCTTGTCAATATATTGATGATGTTGTAAATAGGAGAAGAGCAACCATACAATACCTAAAAGTTGTCTACATTGTTGTTATATCTTGTTGGGTTGTTTGATGTTACTTGTATGATGGATATAAGGTTGGAATATCATGTCAATATATATGTTTATATGCTGGACCTGTTGATGGTGTTGTAAGTACAGGGGAGATGAGAAAAAGAGTTGGGGTTTGGTTCCAATCCAAGCTTTTCGCTTGTCGTGTTAAATAGTAGTTTCGTCAGTAAAATTTGTGCACTTGTTCTTGTGTAGATTGATTAGTATTAATGGGTTGTTGGGTGTATTGTGGTGCTGAAGGTATATAGTTAAAATTTATATGTATTATTGTTGTTTTGATGGACTTGGGGAATGCAAGGAAAACACGGGAGATATTGTCCGTTTTAATATAAAATAAGCTTGTCAATCGTTGTGCGATAGTTGCATCATTCGTAGCTTAACGACAGTATTATTATCGTTGTTTTAGATTAAAGTGCAATGAGACACGTTCAATGTGGTCATTGGACATACTGTGATAAGGTATGTTAAGGCTATCTCTTCTTCCCTTTTGGCATGATCCATATGATACAAACGAAACGAACAAACGCGAAACTTTCACAAATGACTATATTCTTAGAAGTACTAGGGGTGCCTATATTCTTGATTCCCCATGTGTCATATTATTATATCTTCTATTTATGGGTCTTAGAAAATATGTAAGTTGATAAAGTTTAATTCATGATATTAACCGAAGGCATATTGATCATATAACATTGCGAGAGATCTTATCGACTTACTTCCTTATGCATTGCATTCATTGATACATGTACATTGACCCACAAGATGGCATTATATACCCGTATATTATATGTATATGTGGCATGGGAAAAGGTTACGGCGTTATACACACACCGCCACCTGATCAACTGGTATACATTGATGATTTTGCCTACTGAGGCCGGTATGATATGATGGGATGCCCTAAGAGGCTTGAAGAATGCTATGTATGCATATACCTATGCATGATATGAAATTTATATGCATATACATGACACCATAAAGGTTTTATGATTCACTGAACTATTCAGACTTACAGGTTGAGTCCTTTACTCCATATTTCTTTCATGTCTTTTATATACTGTTTTCCATGCCTTAGATACTCGATACTTTATCTGTACTGACATCCCTTTTACCTGGGGACTCTGCATTTCATGCCCGTAGGTCCCGATAGACAGGTTGACAGTCCTCCTAGTAGGCTATCAGCTCAGCGGAAGATGTTTGTGCACTCCACTTGCTCCGGAGTTGCCTATTTGGTGAGTATGCTTTGGACATGTGTTGATTGGTATAGCGGAGCCCTGTCCCAGCCTTTATGATGTTTATTTACTCTTAGAGGCTTGTAGACAGATGTTATGTATATAGATAATTGTATGTCCTTGTCGTCTTATGTTTTGAGTGTACAAATGATCATTTCGGTCTTATAGGCCCGTATGTCACATGTATAAGTTTGTATACCATGTTGGGTCATCCTATGTTGATTATTCTCTTATGTTTAATTCTGGTTATCTCATGACAGCCTTTATGATTCGTTTACCCATGATAGTATGATAAGAATGATACGTTACGTTGGTACTCGGTTGAGTTAGGCACAGGTGCCCGTTACGGCCCTTCGATTTGGATTGTGGCAGAAATGATTCATGGAGATGTATGGGGACCAGTGATCTCGTCCAAGTTCACACCTCAATTCAAGGTTATAAAACAGTCGATTGCAATAGTAATACCCAACAAGGAGTCGGGGTCGAATTCCACAGGGAGCTATACGTGGGATTTAGGAGTATCAATTACAGTGTATGAGTATGAACTATCTCAAATTGCACTTCCACAAATTGATGCTTGTTCTATGTCTATTCTAATTTAAGATTGCAAGATTAAGTAATGAAACTAAGAAATTATTTTTGTTGTTTTTCAAATGATAAAAGGGCCTAGGGCTATAACCTTTACCTAGGTGTTTGCCTAGCGGGTTGTAAACTTTAAAGCTTGTTTTATTAGTCGGGGTATATTATAGCTATAAACACTTGAGTACCCACTCAATACCTCTCGTACGGAGAGTGACTTTGCCTAATTTGGCTTTCTCAAGTCCAAATGGGTGTTGAACAAAACGGTTAATACAAAGCTCAAGTCAGGTTTTACTATCTCTAGATTCAACCCTTTAATTGGGACTATCAATATCTTGATTCACCCCAGTTTCTTTTTAGCCAAGTTTTCCTAGACTAAGTCTCTCTTTCTCAAGTAGAGACCAAGTCAAATTGGCATGAACTAATATTTACAACCATTAATTCTACAATTAAAAGCAAGAACAAGGCTAAATAATAAACACCCAATCATAAACAAGCAATAAATCAAACACCCATTAAGTTTACACTCTAGGGTTGGGTCACAACCCTTGTGAAAATCTAGCTACTCATGCTTAAGACAGAAGAAATAGAAGAAGCAATGATAATGAAACCCATATTGATAGTTAAAATAAAGAAATATATGTTCAAAAAGCTCAAAATGGCAAAAACTACTAAAGAGAGTAAAGAAAAACGGCTACTGTAGTTGCTGATGTCAAAAACGTGACCTAAAAAAGTGAAACTCTTTTATTTATACAGAGCTGGAATTTTTAAACAAAAATGCCCTTTTGGAGGTTCTGCGGCCGCACAATTCTATGTGCGGTCCGCACTTTGCTTTAACCTGACATGATTGGAATCTTGCGGCCGCATAATTCTGAATCGCGGCCGCATGTCTCTCTTTCTGCGGTCCACACATGGCTCTTTTGTGGACCGCACAAATGCAACTGCGGCCGCGTGGCTGATATTTTGCGGCCGCACAATAATCATGCGGTCCGCATTTCCGTTAAACTTGATGTGCAGGTTCTCTGAACTTTTTGCTCTTGCCTAGCTTCTGTGGGCGCACATTTCAAGTGCAGACCACACTTCTCACAGATCTCTGATAAGTTCTTCTGCACAATCTGCAGCCGCAGATGATGTTCTGCGGTCCGCACTTTAAGCTTTTGTGTCTGTTTTTGTCGTTGAGTTCAGATCACTCCTTCTTGAGTTGGATTTTATCTTGGAGGCTCATTTTCTAATATTCCTGCAATTAAGCATATTTTATCAGTTTTTGAGAATACAATTAAACGCTTTTGGACTAAAATGAAAGCTAAAAGGCGCTAATAAGTAGTCAAAATCCCTACTTATCAACTCCCCCAAACATAATCTTTTGCTTGTCCTCAAGCAAATAAGGTAATTTCTACCTACACAAGTTAAGAGTTATTCTAGCTAATCAAAGATGCATCAATCACACATCAATTGGGGCCAAGAATTACCCACAACACTTATGAATTATCAACAAGGCGGAGAGTTGAACTTTTAAGCGCAAATAGTTTTAATGTGACACTTGAGCATCAAGAGTTGACTTTATTCATCAAGGAATCTCGCTTTTTCATGTAGTTCATTGTGGATCCGAAACTCCTCCTCCTCTACTCTCCGTTAGCATATCTCACTAAAGAATGTAGCACTCAAATCAAAGATTTGTGAAAGGTTCGCTCATCTCTTTCAAAAGAATGTCACAAGTATGGCTCTAATTACCATATGCTTGCCACTCATGTAGATCATCACTAATGTAAGTTCACTCGGCTTGAAATCACGTAGGACTTTTTGGAAATGCAATGAAGGCTTTTGGACTAAGGTTGGATATGTTATAATAGAACGGGTTCATGTTTCCTTAAGCACTCCACTTCCTCTTATCAGCTCATGTTTTGCCAACTCTTTGAGGCATTTTTTTCCTTAGGGGAACTAGAGAGGCTTATGGTCGTATGTACGAGGAACTGGGGAAAAAAGGTGGGGAAAAGAAGTTATTCCGGCT